ATCTCCGCAAAGCCTCCTGCGACGGCCGCTGCCTGCCCAACTGTGACCCCTGTCACAGAGTTAAGGTGAGCCTGTCCTGTACCCCTGGGGACCCCAGTACTTGCTTGGTTCCTGCAGTTCCCAGAGCTGTGCCGTGCGCTCTCCTGGCAGGAGAGGCTGCGACTGCGGATGGTGTAAAACCACCCTGTGCTCCGTGCAGAGCTGCCAGCTCGGACCCCTGTCTCAGCTGGCAGCAGCGCTTAGTGCCTCTGAGCCCGTGAAGGTGAGCACACGCTGAGCATGCTGTGATGCCCTGTGTCGTGCATCCCCTCCCTCCCAGGCTGAGGGGCTCCTGAGCAAAGTAGACCCTCTAGCAGCTGATGAATGGCAGGAAATATTCTGCGTGTCAGCAGGTGTGCAGTGCAAGCGAAGGGAACTCGGGGGGAGGTACGGCTGCAAGGGCTGCTCCCGAGAAAGCACCTGTGTGTCTGTGGGAGGGAGTGTGGAATTTGCATGGGATTCTGTGTGCCAGAGCCCCGGCATGGCTGGACCTCACATGAAATGCCGTTTGTATTTGCAATGCCAGGATCTGTTCCAGTATTACCTTTCTGCAGCCCAACATCTTCTGTGGTTTATCAAAGGGGTGATCAAAGGGTGTTGGTGTCAGGGCCCTGACGGGTTATCAGTGCTGGACTGTGTGTCGGGGCTCTGTTACCATGCCAGTGTGCCCCAGTCACGCGAGCCACAAACAGCAAGGTGCAGTTGCTGGGGGACGGTGATGGGATGCCCGAATCCCGGGGCTGGGCTGCTGCCCTGCAAGGGTGGTGCGAGGGGGGAGCGCTGGTGCCCTCCAACAGGAGTCTCCCAAGCAGAGGCACCTCTGCTGCCGTGGGAGCGCTGCAGCTCATCCCAGTCCCTGCGTGTTCCCGTGCTGTTTCTGTCTCCCAAGTGCTGCAGCTGCTGCGGGGCAGAAAAGTTCTTCTGCTACTGCTTGGGGCTTACCTGGAGCTGTTTTGGTGTTTTATCTCTACAAGGTGTCTATCACCAAGGTGCCTTTCCCAGAGGCAGACTAACAACTCACCCCCAGGAGCTTTTCCTGTGACTTGAGGCTAATTTACCTGCCAAAATTCTCATTTCCTCCATACACTCACGAACCATTTCACTGCCCTTTCCATAGACACAGATCCTAACTCCGAGCGGAGCTGCTCCTGCGCAACCTGATCTTTCTGTCTGCTCCCATCTCCCCCTCACCTGAGCTGCTCTGCCCCAGCCGTTATTTTTGCTCATTATTTGCTAAGTTCCCTTTGTAATGGAACAAGACTGAGCTATTCTTTTTTGGTGGCTGGTAACAAATTTATTTGGAAGAGGATGAGAGCTCATTCCCTCAGTAACGGCACGACTCACTGTCCGTGTTACACCTGGAGGCAGTGTCAGAGCTCAGCATCGGTGAGCTCCACCAGGTATATGCTGGACAATGAGGACTTCATCCCTTTGCAGCTCCAGACCACACCATCTCCGATGCTCTCAGACCGCATGAGGGCACTTCTATGTTCATCTGCTCTTACCCTGCTTCTGCGGGCTTTCCTCCCCCCTGAAGCCTTGGATTATTTTCCCAAAGTATGAGAACATCACTCTGGCTTCTCGTTTCTGGATCTCTGTTATTTCTACATTTTCCTCTGCCACTTTCACATCATCTATAGATTTTATTAAACTGCTGTTTCCTCCTCTCTCTGCATCACTTCCCTTAATCTGCCCAAGAGTTCAGAGGGTGTTACTAAACTCAGGTTCTTCTGTGCTGAATCCCCCTGTAACACTAAGAGCTGTCCTTCCCCTCTGGGCTGTTTGACCTGAGGTCCAGCGGGGACCCCTGTGCATACACAGGGAGGAACAGGCCAGAGCTGGACAGTTTTGCACCATCACCATTGCTGCTGCTCTGCATGTCTGTGTCGGTGCATGTGCAGTTATGCCAAGCTGCACCGTCTCTGACTGCATCAGTGCTGGTTACTCCCAGCTCCCCCAACCTGCAGGTGTGGACAGGCCACAGCTGCCTGCACACCAGCTGTTTTGCACATCTGGGCATTTCTGTGAAGATGCATGACCGTGCCCAGCTCGCAGCTCCATGCTGCCTGCATATCAATGTGAATCCTCCCCTCCATAGCCCCTTCAAAATATGCCCCAAGTGCCCATGAATTGTGCCAGAAAAGGATGCTCGTGGGCCATGTCAGCAACCTGAGGAAATAACGGCTGAGAACAGGCTGTCTCTGAGGATGGCGGTTTGGGTGTCTGGCTGCCCAGACGGACAGCCTGCACTGCCCCAGTCACTGACTCACCTCCTGCAGCAGCAGTGCTGGTTTGTTGCTTTCTCGGTTCCTGTGTTGTGTGTGGAAATACATAATAAAGTGTTGCAGAAGTCGACCATGTTGAAGGCTGATGCTGGAGTGATGGCCTCTCTGTGGAGCGAGAGGTGGGAGGGCTGTGCAGAGCTGGCCTCTGCTCAGGCTGAGCCCAGGGCAGAAATCGTGACAGCCCAGGGTCCCTCCTGCAGCTGTGGTTTTGGCTCATCAGCTAGTGTGGCAACACCACCACAGCCCCCCAGATGCATGTACTCATTGCCTGATACACAACTCCCACCTCCAGATGTGCACGTATCTCCCTCTGCTTAAGGACCTAGGTGTAGCCAGTCCCCCTTACCACTGCTCTGGGGGCATAAGGTCTTGCTGTGCCCCTGAAAGAAGCTCGCAGGACACATGCAAAGCCTCCTGAATACGTTGGTGCCAGCTGGTTACAGAGAAGCTGTTTCACCCTGCGGTAGGGCCAAGCCTCGTGGCGGCAGCTGTTGCCTGCAGCGAGCCTGGAACCAGTCTGCCTGCATACCTGCTACTGCAGGTCCCGTCCGCCAGCCTCAACCGCGGTCCTTCTGCAGCGTCCTGGGGGGAGCTGCCTTGAGAAGGCTCCTCCTTTTCTGCACTGACCCCTTCTGTTCCCAGCTCTGCATGCCAGATGCATTTCCCCCTACACGGGCTGCCAGGCTCCTGCCCGCTTGCACTGGAGCTACCTGGAATGGGGGCAGAGAGGCTGCCACAGGACTGGGGCACCCAAAACACAGCCGTGGCTGCCCCGTTAAAGAATAAACGGGTGGGCCTCCCAACAGGGTCAGAATAGACAAGCAATCCACCACTAGGTACTGAGGGATGAGACTGAGCGAGATCCTGGATCTATAAGCCTGGGAAGCAGTTTTTTAAGACATCGCTGAGACCAGAAGTAAAATACTGCATCTAGCATGAGTTCATGTGATAAAAAACTTATTGACAAGTAGCCTCCAACAGACAACTGAAATGTATTTTCCCAGCCCTCAGGTTTAAATCTCCTATCTTACCTGAAAGACATTAGAAATTTCCAAAAATTACAGCATATATTGTATTTTCACAGGTAGTAAAGGGCTGTTAAGGTGAGCCCAGAAGGCAAAACAAGAGGCAGTGACTGCAAAACTAAAGCCAGGACAAGCTCAGTTTAGAAATACTGCATTTAAGAGAGAAAACTGACTGACCACTGAAACAAGCCAGCAGGTTTTCCTCCTCCTCCTCCTCCTCGTGGCTTCAAACAACACATTCCCTCTCTGGAAGGTGCTTTAAGTCACTGGCCTGTATCGCCTATCCAACGGCCGAGCCAGTTGTCCCTTTGGTTTACATTCTCTGACGTGTATTATTTACTTTTGTACACACTGTAAATACCTTAATGAGTAGAGAAATAGAAAGGCAGTTTACAGTGAAATGGAGGTTTGAAGGAGATGGGGGAATTCGCTGTGTGGCAGGGCTGCCAGAAATGCCGTCCCTGTGATGATGCTTCATGCTCCCGAGCGTGATGGAGAGATTCCCAGGCTGTCAGGGGTGGTAACAACTCGGCTGCGCCCTGGGAAATCTTCCCAGCCGGATGGTACCAGCCTTGTGAATCACTTACTAGGGGTGAATGCTGCTGCTGCTCCCTGCCTTTAACTCCAGCGTGACCCACGTGGGCCCGACCGGCTACAGCAGAAACAACTTGCAGTGACCTATGTCTCATGTGCTGTTTATCATACCACAAAGATGACAGGAATGCAAAAATTATAATGTTCGTACAACTTCACGGTTAGAGACACAGACGTGACTTTGATGGGTGCCGGCAGACAGGGCTGTCTCACCCCACCGCACGTGCCTGCCTGATGCCGCAACCAGTGCCACCAACAAGTTTGCTCAGCTCTGCAGAGCTCACATGGGAAAGGTAAGTGCCTTTCTAGCGGGTCTTGCTGGAGAGGGAAGAGAGAAAAGAAAGAAGGGACAAGGTGGGAAGCAACGCTGGAGAGACATGCACAAAAACCCTGCGACAACGCACCAGGGCTGCCTGCACCTGATCTGGTAACAGATTTGTTTGCACAAGAGCACTCATTGTGCCACAGACCTGTTCTCTCACTGCTGCAGTTAACGAGGAATGTATTTATGGTCCTTGAAAGCGCATGCAAAAAAAGCCACACTCCAGCTGGGTGTCTTCTCCCAGCACCGCCACTGGGAGAGCCCCAACAAACCATCACAGGCAAAGGCAGGGTTAAATCATGGTTTAATCTCACCCTGGAGTGACAATGCACTGGGGGACAGAGCAGGGCTGGGTCCGCTGCCATGGGGCAGCGGGGCCGGTGCCTGAGACGCCGCAGGGCAGGCTCCTTTTTCCACCCCACCGTGCTGCCCAGATGTGATCAGCACCATCTCCTTCATCCTCAGCATCTGAGCAGGGCCGGGAGAGCAGCAGCAGGTCCGGTGTCCCCATACCGGTGCAGCCCCACTGGCATCACACTGGGGCACTGTGGGGCCTGCTGCCTTCAGCCTCTGTCCTCATTCCCAGTTCACCCCTTCTCCCCCTCCTGTCCACTCCTTTCCTCCTGCCCCCAGCCATGTGGGGCCAAAAGCCAAGGGCAGGTGGCAAAGGGCAGGAAGGGGATGGAGGTGGGGGGGACGGTGAGAGGCCGCAGCAGTGGTGGCTGGGCTGCAGGCTCAGATGGAGATGTGTGACTCTTGCTCCTCTTCTTCTGGCAGCTGCTCGCTTGGCTGGATGTAGTTGTCCTCGATGAAACCGTCATCATCCTCAGCTTGCAGGTCGGCAGCACCAGGCATGGGGTGGCTCTCGCTGGCCCCCCTGTCCCAGCTGCTGCCATCCTCCATGGGGCTGCCTCTGATCGAGCTGGTTTCAGGCAGCGGCCGGTGGCGGTAGCTGGCAAAGTTCTTGTGGAAGAGCTTGCACTTGGCAGCCAGCGCGATCAGGATGGAGATGCCAATTGCTGTCACCAGGAAGCCCACCAGATACGGCCAGCTCCTTCCCCCCTTCCCGGAGGGCGGTGTGGTGGCTGTGGTGCAGGAAAGGCATGTCAGGGCATGGCGGGTCAGCCTGCGGCATACCTGGCTCTCCTCAGCAGCCAGCCCCATGCATGCCTGCAGCATGCAACCAGCACTGCATTGCTTTCATTTGGAGCAATATAAATGCTCTTCACCAAGAGCTAGCTACCAAGGGTGCATGAACACTGTGGGGAAAACTGCCAGACGGCTGTCTGATACTGGTGCCCATCACTGTGCAGTCTGTGTTCTGTGTGGCTCTGTGGCATCTGCTAACTTTTCGGTTGCAAAGCCAGCAAACACCTCCAGGTGGTGACTACCCTCCCCACCAAGCCACCGCTGGAGGCCACCCTCCCCACCAAGCCACTGCACCAGCGGTGGCTGGGCAGCCTGAGCCCCTAGGGCTGCGGGGCAGAGCAGAGGGTCTCCAGCTGCGGTCCCCTCTGGGATGACAGAAGTCAGGAGGGAGCTAGACTTTACAGACACCCCCGTAGCTGCACGACTTACTGTTGCTGTGGGTCACTGTGATCTGCTGTGTCGTGCTGAGCCCCCGAGGAAACCGCTGCTTCATCTGGCAGCCCAGGTCCTGGGAATCCAGAGCTGCAACCTCCCAGCCCCGCAGCCCCAGGGGTGATGCGCAGGTGACCTGCACAGCTGGGAGACACACAGGCTAAGGTGGGATGGGGGGTCTTCACTTGGCCCCTCCCCACTTTAGAGAAGATAATCCCTGCTTGCTCCTGGGTTGATGGGACGCATCACAAGGTGCTCCTGGCTCTACCCTCCAGCCTCGCTAGCCCTCAGCACATTGCAAGGCACAACCAAAGAAAAAATTCCCTGACCAAGGAAGTGTGCAAGTGTGTGACTGTGATTAGCAGGCTCCTTTTAACTGGATAATGCCAAATTCATGGATACTGATAGAAACCCCACTGTTGCAGGGCTGCTTTCACCTGGGAGCCAAGCTCAGAGGGTTGGAGCCTGGTCCGGCTCCACAGGAGGAGCTGCCGAGTGCTCAGCAGCTCTTGAAAATGTGATCGCTCCACATAGATACATATAGGTGGATTTAGGGGCTTGTACGTGCAGCCCCTTTCCCAGAAGAGTGGCTAAATTATCCTGCTGTCATTCCTAGAAATCTTTAGTATCATGTGTAACTGCAAGCAAGGACCAGACACATCACCTTTCGGTTCACTGTCCCTCAACAGGGTGGGAAAGGTCCCTGGAGAGCCATCTCAGAGCCTGCCCAGGGGCTGGAGCAAAAAGATAGAGCAGGACCGCTGCACCCAGGGTTCCTCCTGCCCGACACCTCTCCTGCCACCCACCCTCGTCCGCTCACCTTGCCTGCGCTGCAGCCACTGCTGCAGAGGCTGCGCGGTGCAGTCACAGACCCAGGGGTTCCCTTCCAGCCGGACCTGCGGGACTGCCTCCATCAGCTGCAAGCTCCGAGTGTCCAGAGAGACCAGTGTGTTGTGCTGCAGGTCCAGGTGGAAAAGAGCCTTCAGTGGCAGGAAGAAAGCAACCTCAAGCTCTTGCAGACTGTTGTTTCTTAGGAGCAGTGTGTGCAAGTTTCCCAGTCCCTTGAAAGCATCCGTGTGGAGGTAGGCAATGCTGCAGCTGCTCAGGTCCAGCAGGCGCAGTGCCCTGAGGTTGGAGAAGACCGCTGATCTCAGAGCCAGCAGGGCATTGCTAGAGAGGTTGAGGGAGCGTAGGGAAGGGAAATTCATCAAGAGAGTCCCATGATGGGGCATGACCAAGGAGTTGAAGGAGAGGTCCAAACCGGTGATGTTGCTTGGAAGGGAACTTGGAGCGTGCAGGAGGCTCTTCCCGTTGCAGTCGGCCCATCCCTGGGAAAAGAGCTTCTGTCTGAGATGGGCTGTCCATGCTGGGGAGGATCTCTAGAGCAAGACTCCCCAGAAGTTCAAATGCCTTAACTAATTACCCTTGCAGAGTTTAAAAAAGCAAAGACACAAACAGGGGTAAAAACACGAGTGCCAGTTTGGTGTGGGCCGGGATAAATGGAGAAGGATGAGCAGGACACTCCAGGACAGCCCAGGACTGAGAGCAGCCGGCTGAAGAAGTAAAAGAGGAGCACGGAAAGCCGGGGGGGAAACTCAGACAGATGGGGTGGGTACAAAGGGACCGGGATGTCACCCCCCTGTCCCCTCTTCCAGGGCAGTTGCCATCTGGATTCAGCTTGCAGAACACCTTCCTCTTCCTCTTCCTCCCCCAGATCGCCACCTCCAGCCCCCAGGGAGCTCTTGTGTGACACAAGGGCATCCTCCCAGCTGGAGCAGAGGAGTGGGCGAGACCCCTGCCCACTGCAAGGGCAGGCAGGCAGGCAGGCAGGCAGGCAGCAGCAGCTGGCCCGGCTGCGGAGCACTGGGCACTGGGCACTGGCTCTAGGCACCCGTGTCAAGAGCTGCTCCCTGAGGCCTGTGCAGGGTGTTGCACCCACGCCTCCAGCCCTCCCGTGTTTCTGAGGATACACTGCGAGTGGCAGCAGCTTAGTGCAGGCTGGGTCTGTCTATACTAGTAAATAAAACAGACCAGGGACCATTCAGTGTCCCAAAACGACAGCGGTGCATGCTGGATGGATCGATCAGCCCAAGTGAATGGATGTTTTTTCCCTCCCCCAAAACAGGGTGGCCAAATTCAAACTGGTTTTGGGGAGCAGTCCCCAGCATGTGTTACTCCTGCCTGGGCTTTATGTGGGAGAGGGCCAGCTCCCCAAACTGAAGCTGCCAGAGGGCAGGTTGGCAATTTAACAGCTTGGTTGGGCAGGCACGGGCTCCTGCTCGATGTCGCATTTGGGCCCCACGGGCAGAGATGCTGTGTTGGAAGTTTGCTGCCGTCCATAGTCCCGGCTTTCGAGGTCTGGCTGCTTTCCAGCTAGCTGCCGTTTCCGCTTCTTTGCCTCTCGCGTGATCACCTCTCCTTTCATCCTCCTGTTCCCCCAAATCTCCTGTCAGGCCCTGCCGTCCCTGCTCACTAGAGAAACGGCTATGCCCTTGTAAATCTGGGCTGCCAAGGACTGGGTTATAATGGGGCTGAGACATGGGGGCACCACACAGGTCCCGTCCCAAGCTCAGAGGGGGCTGGGCTTGGGCAAGCTGGGGAAAAACAATGCAAATGTTTTGAGGGAGTATCTGAGAGCTCGGTGGGCAGCTCTGCGCTGTGCCATCTACCCGTGACAGCCGCTTTCCCTGCCTCCTCCCAGCTCCTGCCCGGTGCAGCCGAGCTGCTGGCTGTGGTGCTTGTCCCAGTGGGATGGGTTAGTTATATTTCCTGCTCCTCACCAGGCGCTCGGGGATCCTGACCCCCATGGTCAGCCTGATCTGGCTCGGTCACTGCATCACTGTACATGGGAGAGGGAGTGAGGGGCTGGGAGCCCCTCGGGGTTGTGCCTCGCTGCTGCTCACCTTGCAGCACCCCTTATGGGTGGCCACATTATGGCCACAGCCAAGAGAGCCCTCCTGGAGTCAGAAACACCACGGCTCATCATGTCTCGAGCTGTGCGGAGCAGGAGCTGCCCGCTGGGGCCCACTGCCCCGCAGGCACGTGGTGCCGCCACCCCGGCTGTGCTGGCAGGACTGGGAGTGGGGTGCCCCTGCCCGCCCCCGCCTGCTGCCCACGCCAAAGCCCCCTCAGCCCCCCTACCTGGTGGTCAAGGCTGCAGGGGTGTCCTGTCACCACTGACCAGGCGCAGAGGAGGCTGCAGACCCCAAGCAGGCAGGCAGGAGCCATTTGGCTCCAGGAAACTGCCAGGCAGAAAAACAAGTCTCAGGGAAAGCTGGGAAGCCGGCAGAGCCGGCCGTGCTGGGCGAGGTGTGGCTGCAGCTGCACGCCCCGGGGCCCCCGCTGAGCCCCTGCGCCCTGGCCGCACGGCCCTGCAGACCACCAGCACCTGGGAGCCAGCCTGGCTGCCGCCCTGGCCCCGCTCCCGACCGACCGACGGCGGGTGAAAGGTGGCGGTGCCGGTTACACATTAACCGCCGTGCCCCGCCACCTCCCACCCGCTGCCTCCCATGATGGGTGGCCGGGGGACCGCCAGCATCTGCCTGGTGGACCATGGGGTGCCGCAGTGGCTGCCTCGGTGGAGCACCAGGAGGTGCTGGGGGGCCAAAGGAGGAGGGGGCACCTCTGTGGCATCCCGCCCGATATGGCCGTGCTGGAGGAGAGCAGCCTGAGCCCGGCCCCAGTGCTGTGCCGGCCGCTGTGTCCCAGCTCTGCGCACCCAGGGCAAGGGCACACAGCACGCCTTGGCTGAAGAAGCTGGGGCTGAGGAGGCCGGAAAGTTTGCTACAGGAAAATAAAAGTCTCATTGGAATTCAGGTGGGAAGGTGTTTAAAACGTGCAGCAAACAGGCAGGTCCCTGGGCCCGGCAGTGGCTCAGGGGTGTTGGCTTTCCAGCACTGGGGAGTCACTAATAAAAATGTGACTTCCCTGAGCAGCACCCAGGGCTCCTATGGAGGTTCCAGAGGACAGGAGTGCCCCACCGCCTCCGGCACCCCTTGCACAGACCTGCCACCTATCAACAGTGCTCCCTGCCAGCCCTGCTGTGGAGTCAGTGAAAATCTGGAAAATTACGTCAAAGCAGCATCTCGCTGGCATTTACTGGCACATGGTTGGGTGGGATGTGCTCCCATGCCCATGGGTGCCGGGGCAGGTGAGTGGGCAAGGGCTGGCAGAACCACAGCCTGGGTAGGGGAGGTGCTGGCAGCGCCCGCTCCTGGCTTTGCCTCTGCGGCAGGAGGGAGCCCCGAGCTCTCCTCCCTGCTCCCCGTTCCTGCTCCCGTTCAGCAGCAGGAAGCCGCCTGCCAAGAAGAGCCTGCAGCTCTGCAGTTTCCACCCCGGCGGCAGCCAGTGCAGGGCGGCCCCGCTTCCCCCAGCTGCCAAGGGGCTCCTCCACAGCCGTGTGTCCCACCCTTTCCTCAGGGAAAGGGCTTCCCAGCAGCCCATCCTTGATCCTGCAAGCGTGTGGTGGACACTGCCGCAGCCAGGCAGCTGACTGCTCCCCAGCTGCCCTGCCGATGCGACCAGGCAGGCTGGGGATGCTCGGCCACCCCACTCTGAGGCTGCTCTTATGCCTGGCAGCAGCAGCCCTTAATCAGGCCTTTCAGGGCCTCCCCAGGACCCGCTGTGCATGTAAAACAAAACAAACAGCCAGAACACAAGGCTAGAAAATGTTGCTGAGGCAGCCCAGCCTGTCGGTGGATTCGCAGGGCGTTTGCGTTTCCTATCAGGAAATGTATCGGTGCGTTATGGTTTCTGGCATGCGGTGCTGTGCATTAGAACGTGCAAATGATAACAAAAGGGGTATTTTTGTCACTCTTTTTTTTTTAGTCTGTCGTGATTCAGCAAAAAAGTTGAGGTCTGTGAATTCAGCAGAAATTCAGGTGCTTTCAGTGTGCTGTGGGTTAGGCAGCTGGAGCTTTCCATATTACAGGAGAGCAAGTGTGGCGAGCTGCTTTGGCTGGGCTTGGCTGAACCCAGCTCCCTGGTTCCTGCTCTGGAGGTACATAAGGTTAAACTGGAGCTGTAGCATCCTGGTTGGGTCTCCCCACAAAACCTCCCAGAGAGGAGGGATCCCAAGGGATCTGCACAGATAGACACCTCTTATCCAGGTGTTCCTAGAAAAAATGCAAGGGAACAAATCAGCTTGGGTCAGATCCCTCGATGGATCCCTGAGATCTCCTAGGCATCACCTGGGGTGGAGAGCTGACCCCAAATGGCTCCCATTCCCCAAAAGAGCAAAGCAATGCCCTGGCTCCCCTTGGGCAGTAAGAGAAGCCATCCTGTGCTCCCTGGAGGAGCACGCTGCAGGGCCCGCAGTTGCAAAGCCTTCCCATAAAGCATGTTTGTTCTGTTAAATAATCCTGTTCTCGAATGGATCCTTGTGTTGGAGGACATTTCACAGAGTGCATCACAGCTCATGGCTCTGTGTGCTGCTGGGGGAGTACAGAACGAGTTGCTTCCCCAGGAGCAGCATGTGTAAGCATGTAATGGCACAATGGCATTTATGGTTCTGAGCGTGACTGGTTTCTACAGCCAGTGAACTAGGGGAAGAAGTCATTTATTTATCTGTTCATGTATCTGTCCCCTTCCTGCAGCCGTACTGAGTGCACAGATGAGTCCCTGACCCAGCATGCTTGCAAACGTGCTTGGGGTTGGCCAGGCAAATGGGGATGTGGGATTCACCAGGAGGGCACCGATGGCAGGGGGACCAGCCTTGGCTGCTGAGCCCCTGCATGTCCCACTGTGGGACATCCCTGTGCTCCGCATTTACATCATGGTTGTGCCTCAGGTTCCCCGTGGGTCTCCCAAAAACAGAGCCCCTCACCTATGCACAGCCCACGGCAAAGCACAGTGCTTAGTTTTCCAGGCAAATGGGGGCAGCTGCATCTGGTGTCCGTCTTTTTCAGCACCTCTCCACCCCTTCTTTTGTGGGGCGGCCGGGTGGCTGCGCTGGGGGAGCCCCTGCCTGCTGCCATCCCTCCCTCAGCACACCACGGGCACCGCGCGGCCCCAGAGCGCGCTGTAAATAGTCGGAAGCGATGAATGGATTTCCCCTTCCTCTCCATGTGGGCTTTAGATTTTTGGCCGGATACGGCATGGGCTCGGGACACACCAAAACATGAGGCTCGCTCCCTGGCAGCCCTGGCTTTCGCGTGGGAACAGCTCAGTTTGTGAGGCAGCGTGAGGTTTGGTGGGTGAAGCTTACGGTGATTTCCTGGGGAATGCCTTTCACTTGCCAGGTGAAGAGCCCAGAGCCCGCCAGAGTCTGGGGCAGGCTCGCAGGAGGGCTGGGTGTGGGACCCCCTGGGGCTGGGGGGCAGCGGGGCTGTGCCGTGCCCATGCCGGTGCCTGTGCTGGCGCTGCACATGGGAAAGCGCTCAGGGAAAGCCAGGCTTTCTGCTGCTTCCCACTTCCTCCCAGACATGTTTACTGCAACATGGAGGGTTTTCTCTCCTGGCAGTGGCCATCTTCCTGTTCAGGCTGGCCAGCTTTTTGTTGCCCTGCCTGTGCTCCCGCTCAGCCCCTTGCAACCCAGACAGCGGCCCCACGATGGGCTGCTGCAGGCGTGAGTCAGACCCTAGCACAGCACGGAGCCCAGGTGGGGCCATGCTTCGTGCTCCGGCTTGTGGCGGCGGGAGGCCGAGGTGTCATGAGGTGTGTACAGCCTCAGCATTGCTGCACGCCGCTCACCAGGGGACAGCCTGTGTGGGGCAGCTCTCGCTGGCTCCTGGAGTCAGGCCTGTCTCCGAACAATGGGTGGAGAGCAGGAAATGCCGCATGGGAAACAGGATTTGGCTCCGCCGCCGCCAGCCACGGCCCCTTGGCCCCTTTCCTTTCCCTGCTCCAGAGAGCCCTTCCCACAGCCATCGGCTGTGGGGCTGCGTCGAGGGGACCGGGATGCTGCCGCCTGGGCGGGCTGGGGCATGAGACCCTCTGCATGACGGGCGAGAAGGGGGGTCGGGACACCTCCCAGCTGGGCTGGGGGCTTGGGATGGCTCAGGGAGCACTGAGCACGCAGCCCTAGCCCTGCAGGGGTGAACGCCGGCTCCCCAGGAGAGCTACCACTGGGCAGGGGACCTCAGTGGCCTCTTTGCCACCAAGCCCCACTCCTGAGCAGCCGGGTGGCCACCGAGCAAGTGGCAACGGGGGCATCTTCCTCACCGTGCCCAGGCTATGTGGCAGAGGAGGTGATCCCAGCTCCCCCAGACGCCGAGCAGCAGGGCGGAGGCGAGATGGGGGGCGCAGGCAGGGAGCAGGGGTCCTGAGCCGCCGCTCACGTGGAGCCCCTAGGCAGCCACGGCCTCTGGCTCCGACCCCCGTGGCTGGGACATGCCGGGGATTTTCTGACCTGTGCCAGATTCGAGACACGCTCCAAGGACATGGGACTCCAGGTTTATCTTCTGCTTCTCCTCCCATGGCTGGCAGGTAAATCGCCCCTTTCCCTCTGCCCCAGGGAGCAGCCCCTGCCCCAGGGAAGCTTGGTGGGATGAGGCAGCTGTGGGAGCTCAGTGGCGCCATCGGAGCAGGGTTTGGAGGGAGGAAACATCCCTTTGTGATCAGCCATTTGGAGACCTCAGAGGCTGGCAGTGCCCTGCTCTGCCTGCCTCTCCCCGGCACGGGGCTGGGGCGCGGGCAGCTTGCGGGAGGAGAGGGGTCCCAGGACCCCCGTCCTGCTGCACGGTTGGCTCTTGGTGGGGGGCTGAGCCCATGGGGATCTCCAAAAGGAGAGTGGAAATGCCCACTGTGCCATCCCGATGGGTCTGCACCCAACCTGGCTGTGCCTCCTGGGCTGGGGGTGGCAAAAATGTCCTGGAAAGAGGGTGACATCTGGGTGATGGGGTCTGGCCCTGAGGCAGATGGCTGTGCCCTTGTCCAGTCATAACGAGCCCTCGTGCTCCCCCATCCCAGGGGCCATCCTGGACATCACCCTGATCGCCAACGTGCAGAGCCTGTCCCACTCCGACTTCTTCCTCTCCTGCGTCATGGGGGAGCGCGACGTGAGCTACCTGCAGATCGAGCGGGAGAACAAGATCGTAATGACGCACCCCAAGATGGGCTTCCAAAATTACCGCAACCGCAGCAACCACGTCCAGGCCAGGGGCTTCTCCATGGCTGACCTGGTGGGGATCCTCTACTGCCTGGGGCGCACTCCAACCGAGCAGGCCCAGGTGGTCTACGTGCACAACAGCCACAACGGTGAGTGGCTGGGGGGGGGGGCAGGGCGGCCCCCCCCCGCCCGCCGGGGCCACCAGGGGGG